GGAGAGTGTAAACGCTATACACTTGTATCCATAAGGAGAGTGTAAACGCTATGAACTTGTATTCATATGAAGTGTAAATTCGATTGAGATGGAGAGTGAAAACGCCATATGATTAGTGCAAACGCCATACACTTGTATTCATATGGAGAGTGTAAGCACATGTTACCTGTATTCATGCGGAGAGAGTAAACGCAATACACTTGTATTCATATGGACAGTGTAAACGCTATACACTTGTATCCATAAGGAGAGTGTAAACGCTATACACTTGTATTCATATGATGTGTAAATTCGATTGAGATGGAGAGTGAAAACGCCATATGATTAGTGCAAACGCCATACACTTGTATTCATATGGAGAGTGTAAGCACATGTTACCTGTATTCATGCGGAGAGAGTAAACGCAATACACTTGTATTCATATGGAGAGTGTAAACGCTATACACTTGTATCCATAAGAAGAGTGTAAACGCTATGAACTTGTATTCATATGAAGTGTAAATTCGATTGAGATGGAGAGTGAAAACGCCATATGATTAGTGCAAACGCCATACACTTGTATTCATATGGAGAGTGTAAGCACATGTTACCTGTATTCATGCGGAGAGAGTAAACGCAATACACCTGTATTCATATGGAGAGTGTAAACGCTATACACTTGTATTCATACCGAGAGTGTAAGCACATGTTACCTGTATTCATATGATATGCGAAAACGCCATACACCTGTGTTCAAAAGATGAATGCAAACGCTATACACTTGTATTCATATGGAGAGTGTAAACGCAGTACACTTGTATTCATGCGGAGAGAGTAAACGCTATGAACTTGTATTCATATGGAGAGTATAAATGCTATGAACTTGTATTCATATAGATAGTGTAAACGCAATACACTTGTATTCATATGGAGAGTGTAAACGCTATGAACTTGTATTCATATGGAGAGTGTAAACGCTATGAACTTGTATTCATATAGATAGTGTAAACACAATACACTTGTATTCATATGGAGCGTGTAAACGCTATGTACTTGTATTCATATGGAGAGTGTAAACGCTATGAACTAGTAATCATATGGAGAGTGTAAACGTAATACACTTGTATTCATATGGAGAGTGTAAACGCTATATACTTGTATCCACATACAGAGTGTAAACGCTATGAACTTGTATTCATATGGAGAGTGTAAACGCTATGAACTTGTATTCATATGGAGAGTGTAAACTTGTATTCATATGGAGAGGGTAAACGCTATACACTTGTATTCATACGGAGAGTGTAAACGCAATACATTTGTATTCATATGGAGAGTGTAAACGCTATGAACTTGCATTCATGCTGAGAGTGTAAACGCAATACACGTGTAATCATGCGGAGAGTGTGAACGCAATACACTTGTATTCATGCGGAGAGTGTAAATGCAATACATTTGTATTCATATGCAGAGTGTAAACTTGTATTCATATGGAGAGTGTAAACGCAGTACACTTGTATTCATATGGAGAGTGTAAACGCAATACACTTGTATTCATATGGAGAGTTAAACGCAATACACTTGTATTCATAAGGAGAGTGTAAACGCAATACACTTGTATTCATAAGGAGAGTGTAAACGCAATACACTTGTATTCATATGGAGAGTGTAAACGCTATACACTTGTGTTCATATGGAGAGTGTAACCGCAATACACTTGTATTCATGCGGAGAGTGTAAACGTAATACACTTGTATTCATATGGAGAGTGTAAACGTAATACATTTGTATTCGTATGGAGAGTGTAAACGCTATATACTTGTATCCATATAGTGTAAACGCTATGAACTTGTATTCATATGGAGAGTGTAAACGCAATACACTTGTATTCATATGGAGAGTGTAAACGCAATACACTTGTATTCATATGGAGAGTGTAAACGCAATACACTTGTATTCATACGGAGAGTGTAAACGCAATACACTTGTATTCATGCGGAGAGTGTAAACGCAATACACTTGTATTCATATGGAGAGTGTAAACGCTATACACTTGTGTTCATATGGAGAGTGTAACCGCAATACACTTGTATTCATGCGGAGATTGTAAACGTAATACACTTGTATTCATATGGAGAGTGTAAACGCTATACACTTGTATTCATGCGGAGAGTGTAAACACAATACAGTTGTATGCATGCGGAGAGTGTAAATGCAATACATTTGTATTCATATGGAGAGTGTAAACGCAATACACTTGTATTCATATGGAGAGTGTAAACGCAATACACTTGTATTCATATGGAGAGTGTAAACGCAATACACTGTATTCATATGGAGAGTGTATTTGTATGTAGGCTGAACACTACCATATATTTTTTTATCTGTGTGCCACATGACAATTCCCAACATTGAATGCAACTGTTATCTCTCCTGACTTTTTTGAGCGTTTTGCCATAGAAACCATATTCCATGTGCGCGCTTTGGATTTGAAATGATGGTCCGCGGCGCATGTGAATATTAACATTGTCATCCTATTCATTGTTGCAGGGCTTCACAAGTGGGAGAACAGCGAAAGAAAACAAACTGAACACAGAAGTAATTATAAAATATCAATATTGGGGAACTCGTCCGAGTCAGAAGTTCCTCGTGTGATCTATAGCGATACAGTGGAAACAGGTTAGTAGACTCGGCTAATAGTCAATTGACGAATACATGTATTAAAGTGGCAGGCTCGACACCGGCGGGAATTGAGTCCCAAGCGACGATAACACGCGCTATAAACGCAAAGGATCATGGGTTGGCGCTTGTTTGTAAACAATGACACTCTATGACCATCTGACGCATGCGCGTATATTTTCGTATCTTTCAATATGATGTTACGTCATGTAGTGCATCTACAATGTGTAGTCTGTCCGGATGTTACGTCATGTAGTGCATCTACAATGTGTAGTCTGTCCGGATGTTACGTCATGTAGTGCATTTACAATGCGTAGTCTGTTATGACTGTTTGATTATGACTTGGAGTATGCCACTGTACAACGGATGCACCTTCAAACCGTTAGATAGCGGGAGTAGGATGTATTTACTATTTTAGCGTTGTTATTCAGTTTAGTTCGAATATGCAATCATCACCGTGAATGTGACAATATTTAGCTTCATTGATCAATTACTTCCGAACTTTTAGTGAAATAAGCATTTAACTGTAGGGTTTTGCTCAGTCACGGTGCAATTATTGTTCCAGTTTATCCTTAGCCGCATTGAGTAATTTTAAGTTTTTTGTTCTTTTCCAGGTGAAAATGAAATTGGTGAAAATAAACCTCTGCGAAATTTGAACAATAAACTGTCTTCGATGACGATACCAGAAAGCCAAATCTCGTCAAATACCTTATGTAACGGCGGCTGCAAAAATGAGAATATCGACGCTAATCTGACCACTGTTTTCGAGAAACCAGAGAATAGTGCGAAAACCTGGAAGCTTCCACTAAAAAAGAGAGACTGGTCACGTTCACAGATTTTAAAAACTAAATCTATCGACAAGAAAAATAATTTATCAGATGTTACACTGAAACAGGACAATGTAACACAGACAACAGACACAAACGTGCCATTGGTAAACAGTGGTTGTTTTGATGGTCACGGTAGCCTTGGCAACGGTATCAGTGGAAAAGTAGAATCGGATGTGCCTTCGAACAGCACGCTCCACAGAAATGTAGACACAACTTCGGATTCCAAACATCATTCTACTGGTTATTCATATATTTCTAATATCCATCCAGTTTTGTCTCAAGGTGTTCCTGTGCTTGCGCTACATCCCTCCGGTTCCCATTTTGTTCCTTTAGCCATCCACCCTACACATCTTGCATCGGCTATTGAAAACAGCACTGAATTTAGTCCTGTCAACGATATGGCACTTTTACATCAACCAACGATCGGTTTTCCGTGTGTACCGCCAAATATTTCCAGCATATCACATTATCCATCCGTTCTACAAGATCCGAACTTAACGCATGTGCACGGCGCATCGCCATTTTCACCACCCCTTCTGAGTCGTCAATGCCAGAACGCCCCCACATGTACAAGGTTATACTCCCTTTCGTCCAGTCTGCCTTGTTTGTCCAGTGCCACTTCTCACTCTCCATTGTGTCGCATCAATTCTTCAAACCCATGTCATGATGGCACACCAATCTTACCTTGTAATATCCATACATGTCGTGAACACATCGGGTCTCGAGTCCATCTATCACAGGAAACAAGACCAATATTTCACTGCTGACAAGTCTGCACATTCCAATCGAATTTACGAATTTATTTCTAAAGATTCAGGATGTACATTAATGACAAGAATTGTTTGCTTTATTGCTTTCATTTTGCATATTACACAGTATACAATGCGTTAGAAACGTTGTTATGAAAGACTTGTATAACATTTACTCGGGAACATCTTCGCACTACATTCAAATCCTCAAATCATTTTATTGCCTAGCGAAGACCCCGAATATAATTTGAATTTTTGTACGATTAACGCTGGCAGATATATATTTTGAATAATTATATTTTGGTAACAAACGTTTGAATTGTAAAACATTAATTTTCTGGTTAGCTTGGACATTGTCACGATTATGATAGGTCACTGACCGTTGAGTAATTATCCATCCACCAAGTCATTGTGAGTGGTCAAGTGGTTTTCAACTGTTTTTAAGTATTCTTTTTATGAATATTACAAATATACATGTCTTTTCTAGACACGGTCATGTAGTTAGACGGTTGTAAACCAGCGCTTATATAAACCAATGATTAGACAATGTTTTAATCAGATTGGTGTAAACCCAATGTATCGAGCATAACGCAGTGTGGACTGTGACGTGACGTTACTGTCGCAACAAGTCGCATATAATCACGTGACCTGTCGAGTCGGAATAGTTCACTACATAAGGCATACTGTGAGACATTGTGGTACAGGAAATTTCGTCATTTCTTTTTTGTACTAATATTGTATTATTTTTTTTTTTGCTTATAAAATGTTTTCTATCTTTTGTTTTCTAAAACGTTTGTGAGTTCATGACAATTCTTGGCTGGCATTCTTGGCTGTCAATTCGCATTTTTTCATTGCTTTGCAATTCCATGAATTGTTATTCGATCGCTTTGCAATGTGTGTAACGTAAGATCATCATCTTTCTCTTCAGTCCGCTATTGAATTTTGTACGAAGCATACATCGGATTTACAGTCTTATCCTATTGATTCACGTGAAATGTTGACGGAACTTCAAAATAAAATATGAGCCTAATAAAAAAAAAGTGTAATGTTGCGTCATTTGTCAATTTGATGTAAAGGAATTGGTCACTAGCAGCCATGGGGGATATTTGGGAAACACAATCTCCCGGTCAATACAAACAAATCCCCAAGCTTCTAACGGTCTGCCCATTTTGTTTATGGAGTTGTTGGTTGGTTGGTAGAATGGAAATGGCTAGTAAAACTAGTAAAACCAGACGATGCATTTTTTGTTGAGTTTTGCAAACAGAAATATTTTAAATAATGTATCAACTATCATGTATCCATATAATAGAGAACACTGAAGATCAAAATATTTTGGGCGCATGTCGTTTATTATCTCAACAGACGACCCAATGCCGGACGACCTAAAAACAGTTACTCTTTGCATGGCACTAACATTAGACTCGGATACAGCGCTTTGATGTAAGAGGTTTCCCAACATAAAGTTGATCTCTTAATTTGACTTCATATTAGCTACATCAGAGGTACATTACTTGGGCTTTACAAGTAGCATGACATGATACCAAGATCCCGTTTCAATCTCGCTCTCGCATAAGCGTTCCCAACTCAGAACAATGCGATTGCGCGTGCCCAAGGTAACTAGGAGGTCCAGGTGGATCAAAATAGCTGCTCACGATATGACGGATTACGAGAACTATATTTTCTGTACATTTTCGATGTATTACATTTTTTCACCATGATAGTGGTAAGAGAAGTTTTATTGCTTTATTACAAACCTTGAACATTGATATATGCAATGTCAAAAGGTCGTAGCATGAGACTTGAATGGGATCATCTTCAACGCAACTGTTTATGTTTTGACAAAGAGATTAAACAGCGAATAAACACCCTCTTCTCACCACCATGTTTTTTTTTTATATTCATGGCTGTTCCAAAAGCAAAATTTCTTCACGGTCCTTGGTTGAAAATCTCCCGTTTCGAACTCATGTCTGAATTCTTCACCAGTCGCCTCGATCTGCTCTGAGATTATGCTTTGTCGCCCACGTGTTAACTTTCCGTTCAAATTCTGTTTGCGTTTTCACGCCACCAGTGGTTGCTTTGGGAAAGTTTGTTTAGACTTTCGTCTCTGTGGTTATTAATATGATTGTATGCCATTATAAAGATGGTTTTCACTGGATTCACTAGTGTCTAAGAATTAAAACAAACCCGTCGCCTTGATGTGCGTTTTCACGTCTAGATGCGAACATACCTTTATACGATGTGAAATACCTCTATACGATGTGAACATACCTTTATACGATGTGACATACCTCTATACGATGCGAACATACCTTTATACGATGCGAACATACCTTTATACGATGAAAACATAATATTATACGATGAGAACATATCTTTATATGATGAAAACATATCTTTATACGACGCGAACATAATATTATACGACGAGAACATACCTCTATACGATGTGAACATATCTTTATACAATGAAAACATACATTAATACGATGTGAACATACCTTTATACGATGTTAACATAATATTATACGATGAGAACATACCTTTATACGATGAAAACATAATATTATACGATGAGAACATACCTTTATACGATGAAAACATACATTAATACGATGTGAACATACCTTTATACGATGAGAACATAATATTATACGATGAGAACATATCTTTATATGATGAAAACATACCTTTATACGATGCGAACATAATATTATACGACGAGAACATACATTTATACAATGCGAACATAATATTATACGATGAAAACATATCTTTATACGATGCGAACAAAATATTATACGATGAGAACATATCGTTATATGATGAAAACATACTTTATACGGTGTGAACATATCTTTATATTATGAAACATACTTTATACAATGAGAACATATCTTTATATGATGAAACATACTTTATACGATGCGAACATAATATTATACGATGAAAACATATCTTTATACGATGCGAACAAAATATTATACGATGAGAACATATCTTCATATGATGAAAACATACTTTATACGGTGTGAACATACCTTTATACAATGAAAACATACCTTTATACGATGCGAACATATCTTTATATGATGAAAACATACTTTATACGGTGTGAACATAACTTTATATGATGAAAACATACTTTATACGATGTGAACATATCTTTATATGATGAAAACATACTTTATACGATGAAAACATAATATTATACGATGAGAACATATCTTTATATGATGAAAACATACTTTATACGGTGTGAACATAACTTTATATGATGAAAACATACTTTATACGGTGTGAACATATCTTTATATGATGAAACATACTTTATACGATGAGAACATATCTTTATATGATGAAACATACTTTATACGGTGTGAACATCCCTTTATACGATGAAAACATACCTTTATACGATGTGAACATGTCTTTATATGATGAAAACATACTTTATACGATGTGAACATAATATTATACGATGAGAACATGTCTTTATATGATAAAAACATACCTTTATACGATGTGAACATACCTTTATATGATGAAAACATACTTTATACGGTGTGAACATATCTTTATATTATGAAAACATACTTTATACGATGTGAACATCCCTTTATACGATGAAAACATACCTTTATACGATGAAAATATAATATTATACGATAAGAACATA